GACAGGCAGCAAGGGGCAGATAAATATTACATTTTAAAAAAATTTTAGGGGCCCCATGGGCCGGATACAATGGCCTGGCGGGCCACATCCGGCCCAGCGGCTGCATTTTTCCCACCCCTGCACTAGCTCATATCTCAGACCAGAAAGAGAAGTTAGGCTACAGCTCCTCAACAAAAAGCTGCTTCTGAAATAGATTTCAAAAAGACTACCACCTTCATATTTAAAGTCCTCATCAAAAATTATTTTCCTGATAACCTGAGTTTTGGTGCATAATTCCCTTCTGGCTACAGACAAATAAATTGACACAAATTATCAGAGAGACATTTTTAACAGAGAAGATGCATGTTAAAACTGGGTGACTATAGAAACAAAATCTTCGCCATGGATTTACAACAGTGATTTCGTTAAGCTGGGAGACCTTTTCTCCCACTAAAAAGGAGTTGGAGATCCTTCAATATCCTTTATAGCTTCTGACTCCGCTGTATGGGAAACTGGGCAAAAGGACAATTTTCTTTTTTAAAAAGGTATAAAAATACACAGTATTGTAAAAAACAAACAAACAAACAGACACAACTTTTCCAAAATTTACATGAATAGCCTGTTCCAGAACACCCTAACTACCAAGCTATAAAGGGACAATTCTTGTTTGGGCACCTACAGTACATGTCATGACTAACAATAACATCATGAGGCCATCCATCCCTGTGAAGCAACTTTGGCAGTACAACCCTCTGAAGAACAGCAAGATTAGTTCCTGGGGAGATAGCCTGGAAACAGGTAAAGATCCCGGCAGAGTGTGCTACAGTACTCAGACATCTCCTTACAGCGATGAAATTCTGTGCCTGGGGCATAGCCTTCTCGGTGCTTAATCATTCTATTCACCTAAGAGAGAGAAAAAACTATTGAGAGATTTAACAAGCAAACAAACAAAAACACAGAGCTAAGGAAAAGTGTTGCCCCTGAGATGTAAATCATACAAGCCCCAACATACAAATCAAAGACTGCACTCTCTCTCATACACACACACACTTAAGGCAGCAGAAAAAATTAGTTCTAAGAACTATCACAATACAGCCTAGTAGGAACTCTGTAGAGAATAGTACACAAAAGCCATAGCTGTAGGGGGTCCTATTCTATTCATTCCCAATCCTCTACTAATATGGTATAACTATTCCATAGGGCCCACTGGGCTACTGGAAGATGCAAGATGAGGATAGGGATAGGGCAGGGGTTCCCAAACAGTGGCATGCATACCCCTGCAAGTACACAAGACACCTCTAGAGAGGGGGGCTTTGCAAGAGAAATGGCATAATGGCAGATTTAATTTTCATTATAATTGTCATTTAAGGGGTTAAAACATACACTAGTAGGGGTACACAGGTAGCTGGTAAATCTGGAAGGGAGTATACAATAAGATAGATTTTGGGAACTGAACTCCTACCATCTGCTACCAGTCCTGCAGATCTGGCCTAGGAGGAGCACTGAGGCCTATATCTGGCCTAGAGTGAGTTTGACACCTCCAGTCTAAATATCTGTTTAGTGTGTAGAATAGCTCCTAAACCATCAAGAAGCATAAGGCATTGCAGAAACCAGGCATATATGAAAGAGGGGAAGAAAGGTGCCTCAGCTCACCTTCACCAGCATGTCAGCCACATGAGTATTATGGGAATCCTCAACAAATACAGAGGTGAGAGCCTCAATATACCACGATCCACGCTTGGTGTTCCGCATGGCAGCTGTGCCTGAGAACAGAAAAGGTGTCAGCTCAAGGTTAAAACTGGACGACATGGAGAATTCAGGATAAGAGAAACCCTAGCAGATGCACAGAGGGAGACTACAGGTGCTCAAGGGTTGGCATCAAGCACCTGCAAGCAGTTGACAACATCACAGGCTTATCCCCATACCTTTCAAACAGGCATATCCGCAAATCATGTCAGAGCATGTGGGCAAACGCAACCGGGGATTCTCCTCCTTGTTTGCATCACTTTCCTCATAGCCTGGAGAATCAGAGCGTTCTTTCCCATCCTTTTGATCCACTCCCCGGTCAGTCTCATCTGGAAAGGGGGAAAAAAAACCAAAAGTTGAGAAATAAGTCACTCTCAACCATGTTTTTCAACCTCCTAGCACTCCCAGAGCCAAACTAGTAGCAATTTTCTTTGTCCAAGACCCAATCTCTCAGCCGCTGGCGCAAAAAGGATTTTCCTCTACAACAGAGGCCTTCTGTACCCAACTCTTTAAATCTCATATGGAAATAGCTTTGTTACAATATTCAAATGCTCCTCATTTGATTTGTAGTTTAAGCAAATTTTAACTGCTGCAATATGGCACTCACTAAAACCGTAGTTTTAGATTACCCCTGATAATAGTATCTTATTTACTGTCCACATAGTACAGTAGAGTGCACTTAGGCTAGAGTGTTCAAATTGTAATCAAAACCTTAACTCCTGCCCTCAATCCCAGAACAAGATGTTTCTGTTAAAAGTTTATAAGGTCGATAGGTCTGAAATGAAATCCATCTATAGATGCAAATCAGGAATATCGGCATTGCTTTTACACAGGTTGTCTATCCAAATAACAGAAATTAGATTTTTATTTTTTTTAATTCAGTTGAGATCAGTGATGCTCAAGCTTTTTTGCCCCACAGGCCAGGTAAGTGGTCTGGGGCTGGTCTACAGGTCAAAGGAAACCCCATGGGCCCTCAGGCTCTCAGCTGGCCACTGCGCACTGGGACAGGGCCCTGGGGCCCAACACAGCCCCTGCACACTGGGATTGGATGCCCAATGCAGAGCACAGGGCATGGAGCTTCTTAGAGGTCCAGAAATTTGAAAGTGGGGGAGCAGTGGTACTGCTCCCTTGTTGCCAAATTTCCAGACTTGTGGGAAGCCCTATGAGCCAAAATGTCACTGCACCAGGGATGAGATCTAGCCTACAGGCCAGGGGTTGAGCACTCTAGGTTTATATGCACCACAGATGCCAGAAAGAACTAATGTACTGCTCGCTACCCTGAATCAGCTCCGTAAGAACTTGTATACTTGAAGCCACCTACTCGAAGTATTCCCCCCCCGCCAACACTGATCTAAACGTGACGGACAAAGAAGAAAAATGTGGGGGATTTTTAAAGTTCTTTATATGTATGGAGACTTGTTCTCTTTCCCAGAAGTTCCATGGCTCCTGCTTTTTTCTATTTTACAAATTTCACTGGCAGGAATTTTAGAATGACAGTCTGTTTCTGTAATTTGGATCAGTTTGGTGTCCGTCTAGTCCCATACCTGACTACGGCCAATACCAAATGCTTCAAAGAAGAGGCCAGGACTCTGAGGTTGGCAAATGAGGGTGCTCTCCCCCCTACATGAAATTTTCATGCCAGCTGCTAATATTTAGCAATTGCCTTAAACCCTAAAATGGCATTTAACAGCCTTTCTACAATTAGCACCATTATGATGGCTTTGAATAATTCCCAGTATCAGTAGCTGTACAATCTCCATATTAATCCAAGTTCCTGGTGACTGAAAAAAAAAAAAAAATCTTCCAATAACAATGAGCAGTAGTCTTGTCATGCATGAAAAATAAACATTCCTCATTTGGTCTTAAATTTTTTATCTTTGTGTCATTGTGCCCCTCTGTCTTATGTTGTGGTGAGACTGGGAGACAATTTCTTACTCTAGCTTGTCCCGACTATTATTGTACATATATTTATCCTGTTCCTTTTCTACACTTATTTTTGAAGTAACAAGACACATCTTTTTAGTTCCTCCCAAGCACTTTTTCAAGCCCTTGTTCATTCCATCACTCTCATTTTGGAGTGTCTTTCGGACAGTGACCAATACTGCACATATTGCATTTATCACTGATTTACTGCAAGTCATTATAATACAACAGACGAGAAAGAAGATGTCCTGAAGAAAAATACACTGCATTTGAAATCTTGTCTCAGCCTAACTTAACTGTTCTATTGGTCCATTAAAACGTATGACCCACTAAAATCTTTGCCTCTAAATTTCCTGGACCATCACTTCAACACTACAATATTATCCATAATTTTTTCACTCTATTCCTTATACAGACTACTCTCATATTTGCTTTTTGACCATTAATGCATATTAAACAAAAGATCCTTTAATGTATATAGTTAATTTAGAACCATGCAGGATGCACTTAATTTATTTTTTCCCCTTCACATACACTTTTACGCATTTACCGACATGAGATGTCATTTGGCATCAAGTCATTTGCCTATTGACCCAGTTTGTTTGGTTCTCTCTGGTCCCAACTAAACAAACTGTTGTTTGCACCTTTTGCCACCTGCCTCACTTCTCACCCTTTTCCAAATTACTACCATATTCAACACAAAACTTTGGACAAAACCTTGAAGCTCCTATTCTTACCCTATTAGCACATGGTATCTCCATCCTTGGAAGTTTTTAATAGCAGGTTAGATAAGTGCTTGGATGACACGGGTTAGACGGAGAAAATCCTGCCTTGAACAGGGAGCTGGACCAGATTACTTCCTGAAGTTCCTTCCAGCTGTAAATTTTCTATGAAAAAAATTGACCACTGTACTTTGTTCCCATCTGCAAAGCTGTTTTTGAGCCACAAGATTTTCCCTCTCACCTTGAAACAGATTCATAGTATGTTGTGGCTGACCTAGGTAAAAGGCTGTTTGAAGGTCTAAATAAATTATATTAATCAACTTTCCCCTATCCACTACCTTAATGACATGTTCAAAAATTGTAACAGAAGAGCAAGACAGTATTTATTTCCAGAATTTATCTTCTAGGTGCTCTGTTGTTCTGCTTTTAATTATTGTTTCAAACAATTTGCTTATACAAATGTATTTAAGTCCTTAAAAAATAGAATTATAGAATCATAGAAAAGTAGGGCTGGATCTAGTTCCACCTCCTCTTTGAGACATCTGAACTATGCTTAAGAGAGCTAAGGAGTAAGACGATACCCCAATGTTACCAAGGAAGACAAAACCCACAAAGAGTCTATGCCAATCTGACCACGTGGGGTAAAATTTATCTCCGATTCCAAATATGGCAATGCAGATAGATGCAACCTCTAATACACTCCAGTTCTGTGAAGCTGTTAAAGAGCATATTTTTTTGCAGCCCAGTTAACAAATAATTAAAACTAGGGATGTCAAAAATATAGCCCATGGAGCCTCTTTATCCAAACTACTGGGCTACCAGAGGGCACTGGAAGTTGGACCCTTTGGTTGAGTAATGAACTTGGTCCCATCCACTCTTGCTGCCCCTGCCGGGCTCTGTGTTCCAGCTACTACTGGACACTGCACCTCTCCCACTCCCTTCCCTACTGGACCCCGAGCTCCTGCTACTGCCCTGGCCATAGTGGCCACTGAGTCTGAATCCAGTCCAGGGCCTCAAGCGAGTTTGACACCCTGATTTAAACTGATGCTGACCTTTCTTCCAACTGTTAAACAGATGCTTACAATGCCAAAGAGCCAGAAAAAGAGGAGTTACACAGACTAAAATGCTTTTATTTATTTATTTTTGATCGCTCAGATTTCATTCTCGTGTGCTATAAATGCACTAATCCCACCAACCCTAAATTTCCTCAAGCAAGAGCAAAGAGACAGAGAAAGAAAAATTAAGTAAAATAAGAGAACCTTCAGGACTTTGCCATACACCATAAATACTGTACATGCTTTTAAATTCATTTGCAGACTGCCAAGCTGCATTTTTACTTTTAGGAGCACCTGTTGGTAATGGGGAAAGCTACATTTACGCAAAAACTCTTACTGTAAATATTCTGCACAAGTGCTACAATAATCAAATCAAGTCCTCAAAGTCTCCCATACAGGTATTTTAAACACCAGTGAAGTCTAAGTTTTTTCAGAGATTAACATTTTTCTAAATTTCAATTAAACACTTAACCAACTCAAAACCAGCTCAATAAAATGCACCTTTTTTTGCCCAAGTAAAATCCACAAAGATTTAGTACAAGTGGAAACCTTGTGAGGAAGCTACCCCTCCTTCACAGTTGCTTACAGAAACTAGAATGGATAGATATTTCAGGCTCCAACACAGAAAAACAGCTTGCATAACAGATGGCTTAGAAAAGCTGTTTTGTCACAGCAGCAGTGCCAAAAAAGCAGCAAGCATTTACGAAGAATGGGTTAGGCAGAAGTATCTACATACTGTATAACCGTGTTAGAGTTTCAAAAACGACAAAGGATAAATAGCATGGAGATAAAGTGCGATATGGAGAAAGAAGGAGAACTACAAGGTTAAAAGGAAATGGAAAAATAGGTCCCAAGAGAAGACAACAAATGTGAGTGGTGAAAGGAAAGTGCTCCAGGGACGGGTGTGAGTCTGGAAGTCAGCAAAAAAGTTAGGACAAGAGAAAGCCAGAAGCTGGGGCAGGACATGATAGAGCTCCCCATTCCCATGGTGCTGTGGGGTCTGTGATTCAATGTACACAATGCATGCAGAGTGAAAGACACTTACAGAGCAACAGAGGCTGTGGCAGCAGCAAGGCAGAGGGAGATGAATGTGGGTTCCGCTTACACCTGAGAGAAGCAAAGAGGAGAGTTGACAGGAAGTTGGGTGCAAGGGTGTATGCATGTGAAAGTCAGCCTTCATGGGGTGTCAAGTACTTAGCCCTCATCATCCCTGGCATCACTTACCTCCCCGACAGGCCTGAATAAAGAACATTTTGGGCTTATTCTGGAGGTTTGGGCAGTTCGCATTGTCAAAGAGCCTGAAAACTTCCTGCAACTAAGAAAGAAAAGAAAGCTTAGTAGTTTCCGCCTTCAATACTATCCTAACATCACATCCTCCTAACCTCACATCTTCCATTCACTCTCCCTATTTCCATGTCACTTACATGAGACTCCTCCAGTATGACAGGAGCTTCAAACCCCTTTGCAAATGCTCCCACCCTGCCCAATGCTTTCTTCTCAGTGCAGCTTCCCAAAGCCAGATATCAAGGGTTCATTCAGAATGAAGGAAAGTACCTGTAGTAATTTGCCATCGACTCCATAGACCCCACCCTCCACACCATGCGAGAGTAGAGCTACAATGCAGGAATCCACTTCCTGGTGAGTTGGCTTTTGAGAAAATTTCTGTAATGTCTCCTGCATCTCCTGAGGAAAGAAAATACACTCAGTGATACTAAGAGCCACACGTGCATCAAGGAAAAGGGGGGACAGAAATGGTAGGCAGCAAGGCCCAGACACTGAGGGGAAAGCCAGGCAAATCATAAACCAAACTGGGGGGAGGAAGGAAAGAGAAAGTGTTTTGCATTTAAAGAACAAAATACTGTTATTACCTTGCATCAAGGGAAAGGGG